AAAAGGAGTCGGAGGTATAGCGAAAAGAAAAGGATAACTGTGAGTAACAAATTATAGGAAATTGTGGAGAGACATTATCACTCACGTCCTGAACGGTCACGGAGCATAAGAAGCATAAAGTAGGTTGGCTAACATTTTGGCTATTTCACGACATCGACAGACTGCTATTATGACAACAATGACGCCATTTAACGCATCCATATTTGTTAACTTGTTGAGATTTTATTAAGTCTGGGATAAATTGATTTATTGAGCAGCAAGTCTTGCGTCATATATATATATATATATATATATATATATATATATATATATATATATATATGTGTGTGTGTGTGTGTATGTATGGCTGTCCGATTTCGTTTAACCATAAAAGCGATTGTCGCCGCATGGTGTTGTCATCAATGATGTTCATTTTTCTATTTATATCCGCTCTGTCACTGATAGCGACCACTATGACTCATAAATATAGCATATCTTAAAAACATATACTTTTATCATACACACGCACACATATATGTGAGCGTGTGCGTATATATATATATATATATATATATATATATATATATATATATATATATATATATATATATATATATGGCCCGCATGATATTGACCCTAATGATGTCTAATTTTCTATTTATATCCGCCTGATATGGATCACTTTAACTCATAAATATAGCATATCTTTTAAACACATAATTTTATCATATATATTAATAATAATAATAATAATAATAATAATGGACTCACGCGTCGGTTTCGACGTATGAGGATCCGACATCTTATTAATTCAGTTATGAAAATTTGTGCGATGATCTTAAGTCATATATATATATATATATATATATATATATATATATATATATATATATATATATATATATAGTGCAGATAAACAATCCGCTGCTATATAATGCAAGTGGGTCCTAATCATATAAAAAATATTAAAAACTGGTCCACAAAATGAGCTCAATGTATTTATTATAACAGAGCATATAAATTACACAGCAGAGAGGCAATTTTATTTCTATGTTGTGTCAATATATATATATATATATATATATATATATATATATATATATATATATATATATCTACATATCTATATATATATATATACATATATATATATATATACATATATATATATATATATATATATATATATTTACATTTAGGCAGCAATCTTTCTTTTCATGCATTTCATTGAATACGACAGACAAGGTGCTTTTTTATATAATTTATCATCTGAAAAGAAAATCAGATCGCATGAGAAATTGTATAAAAAGTAGATCAAACCACATTGTCTGTCGTATTCAATGAAATGAGTATATATATATATATATATATATATATATATATATATATATATATATATATATATATATGCACATTAAAGACAACTGACAGTTTTCTGCGATTAATCTTTTTATTCAATTTTTGTTATGTTAGTTTAAGTGTTTTGTTTTTTGAACATAAAGTGTCCAAAATTGTCTAAAAGTTTCTGTATATCCGAGAACTTTATATATATATATATATATAAATCATCCTTGATAACGGATAAAAGAATAAGTGAACATTTGAACAATTAGAAAAATTGAATAAAAGATTAACCACAGTACCTTGTCGGTCGTCTTTAACAAAACTTGTATATATTATGAAATGGACACATATTTTAAGACATTTTTTTTATGTTTATACGTTCTTTTTATAGATTCAAATATTTAAGTATTTTCTCTGAAAATTTATCGGACATTCAGGCCGGTAAATGTTGTTAATACTGTTTATTATAAACAGTGTATTTACCTAAATATTTGTATCTATAAAAAAGAACGTATAAAACATAAAAATAAATTTAATATATATATATATATATATATATATATATATATATATATATATATATATATATACTGCAGTTCTTCATGCATGAACGTTTGATTAAACAACCGACGAAAGTTTGTTATTGCTTAATTTTTTATTGTTATTTACTTTTCAATATTTCAAATAATTATTCTCATCTGCTTTGCTCTGTATTTGTAAATATATGTCACCTCTAAACACTTTCGGGTAACACGTAAAAACACGAAATGGAAGCTAACACAAGAAACATGATATTTAAAAAATTAAACAGACGATACAACAAACAGCGAAAAACTTTGAAAATTGTTGAAATACGAATATATATTTACAGATACGTACCGGAAAAAAAAGAAGTTAAATTCAAAGTTATTTAAATATCAAATACCTGACAATATCAAGATGGCGTTTCCGTAACGATTTAAATAAGTTACAGGAGTTTATTTTGTTGGGATTGCGAAACGATAAAGACCTCTGAGGAGAAAGAAAGACATATTTCAAAAATGTGAAAGATGATCAATGAAAACAAATAATTATTTTTTGACATTAAGATTATTTCTTACAGGTGAAAACTTTTCGAGCAACCAGAAGATGATGGGCCCGAGGGAAAACTGAAAACTCTCACGTTACATTGCAAAATAAAGAAGTATCTATCTATCAATTTCTATTAGAGGTGCAATGGAAAGAATATATCTTATTTTGCATTTGTTTTTTGTCCATCTCAGTCTGTCTGTCTGTCTGTCTATCTATCTATCTATCATAAAATCGTAATCAAAAATGATAAAATACAGAATTAATGTAGACAATTTAAAAACAGAGAAAGGATGATTTATCATGTCCTACACAATAATCGCGCAATTGCCTTAGGCCCATTTGCTTTTAACTAAGATGATACACACACACACACACACACACACACACACACATATATATATATATATATATATATATATATATATATATATATATATATATATATATATATATATATATATATATATATATATATATATATATATATATATATATATATATATATATATATATATATATTATAAATTAATTGATTTAAAATATGTTTTTTTCGTTGCACAGTTCTACTGTGTAGCGAAAAAAACATATTAATTTATAATATTAATGCTCTGTAAATTTATATTGGGCACTATTCTGTAAAAATAAAAATATCTATCACCGGATTATATATCTTACTGTTCTTTCTTTATATATATATATATATATATATATATATGTGGACACGCACACACACACATATATATAATATATACACACACAGAGAGAGAGAGAGAGAGAGAGAGAGAGAGCATGCGATGGATAAATTGTCGTCTAAATTACGTAAAAATGAAAATAACACTTTTAACAGATATCTTTTTTTTTATCAAAATTGCATAAAAAAAATATCTTGAAATAATAATGAGTTAATTTATTCAATAAAATCGCCATTGGTTTCAATCATGGACTCTAGACGACTTCGGAATCTCCTGCAACTTGAATCTGGACCGCCCCCTTGCTTAAGATGGTGAATGCTGCCATAATCTTTGCTTTCAGTTCTTCTTTGGAATTCAAGGAATTTTGTTGGTCTCTCGTTCAACCGCATCCCGCAAACAATAATCAAGTTGGGTGCAGTCTGGGGAATTAGGAAGCCAGACGCAAGGGTTGATGTGGCCACAGAAATAGTCTTAGAGCCACGACTGGGTTCTCTTGCTGATGTGACATGGTGCAAAATCATTTTGCCAGACATAAGATCTTCCAGAAGCCATCGCTTTGTTCCAAGGCAGCACTACCTCCACAAGGAACTTGATGTAGATCTCCGTATTTAGTCTGAGGCACTAGCCAAAAAATTCGGGAGTTCTTTTTTTTATCAGAACGATCTGAGTGAGTTTTCCGAGTTGCCGTACCTTCATAAGCACTATTAGACTCATTCCAAATCCTCTGCAGTGTCCTCGGATTGACTCACAAATACTGAAATGTTCGTATTGGAGCTGCCGGTGAGAATGCCATGACGGAGTGAATTGCGTCATGGTGATCTTTTTCTCACAGGCGGCACACAAAAAGCCCTAATGTACGGTGCAGACGACAAAATAATAAACAAGAACGCGCTTGCGCGAAATTAAAAATATAGTATTAAAAATAAAAAATAAAATGGCGACATTTTACCCATTGCGCACTGTTTATATTAGAATATGATTTATAAATTACTATATATTAGAACAATATTAGCCATAGGAATGAAAAGTGAAAAAAATTATGTCACGCAGTTCTGACAGGAAGTAATTTACACACACATCCATTATATTATATATGTGTGTGCGTGTATGTGTTTGCTTGTGTGTGTGTGTGTGTGTGTGTGTGCGTGTGTGCGTGACTTTTCAGTTAACCTGGTAATTATTTATGAGCGTCTCTTGAATTTAAAAATGTTGAAAATCTGACTCACTGTTCGTATCTATCTATCTATCTATCTATCTATCTATGCATTTGCATATATATGCGCGCATGGATGCGTATGCAGAAATATGTGTGTGTCTGTGTGTAGCTCTATGTGTATATATATGCATGTGTGCTTATTTTTATGTGTTATATATATATATATATATATATACATGTACATGAGTACATATATATATATATACATGAGTATGTTTTATGTTTATATGTATTTATATGTTCTTCATACATATATATATATATATATATATATAT